ATATATGTAACTTTATGAATAATAAAAGTTTTTAGTCGAAAATGAGAGGTATTCATATTTGAAGAAGCAAGACGAAAAAGGAAGCGGATCCTTTTTTCTCCCTTATTCAAGTGTGTAATATGATATATCGGTCAATAAGATGGAAAAAGTAATGCCAAAGATAATCGATTTCACATTCCACCCATGCAAATCAAAATTAAAATGAAAAAAAAAATAAATCAAGAAAATGATCGAAAGAGAAAAGAAGGCGAAAAAAAGATAAAAGAATAAAGGATAGAGAATACTAGGCAAAACAACACGACATATATTATACAGGATAGCGAAATGATAACCTCCTCATTTTCTAACAGAATATCACATTGAATAAAATCAACTATAAGAAAAAAACAAACATGAAAAATAATTAAATTGATATGCTCCCATCCAATAGAAAATTTGTTATGCATTCATACATCTATCAGAAGAAAATGAAAATTAAACAACGATAGAAAATTTTTACATTAGATAGAGTCTAACCTAGCCTTTATCTGTCCTGGCACCAGCCTACCTGGACTTCGTGACTCCGTTGCCTATGGTGGATGCGTGTTTAGAGTTTGAATGAGAAGAAGAACTGCACCCTTATCATCAACGGAGAGTAAATTCTCAGACGAGAAAAATGCTAATTGGAATATATTTATTTTTTAGAGAAGTTTCTTCAACTTTAATTACTTTTGAACAAATATCAGATAGACTCAATTCTTTGAATGATTTCCGTTTTTTAAATATAAGTACATTGGCAATTTTAACAAATGCTTATGAAGATATGAATCCATTCTATAATAGTTATCAAGATACTTTAATATATATAAAAGATTATTCACCTGTAGAAAATCATATATATACATTATTAAAAACTATTTGTAGTTATTTTAATTTACCAATATGTTTAAATGATCTATCAATAGAAATGAAACAAGCTTTAAATGATCGAATTCAAGCATTATTTGATTGCTTTCTTCGATCAAATTGTTCCAACCTAATATCGGAAACAAATGAAACAAGTATATTTTATTTTAAAGAAATTTTAAATAATATGAAAGAAAACTTTTCATTTTTACAACCTGTTTTACATCAATCTGATGTTAAAAAATATATAAATAACCATTTTTTTGATGCATCATCTTATGTTCATGATATATTATTAAATTGGATAGCCATACGTATGACTAATACGAGTAAAAATCTATGTAACGAAATAGGAGATGTTTTTCAATTTAAAATTTATCAAAAATCAACAGAAACATGTTTATATGGTTCAGTTAATTCAATTAATTTAATACGAAATACTGATGAAACAATTGATGATCGAATAATTTTTACATCAAATTATGATGAACCTGAATTACTTGTCTATATGATAGACGAAACTAAAAAAGATATTATTATGCTTATATGTGGTATTATACTTTTCATATGTGGATTTATTCTAACATATTTTCTTAAAAATTTATTATCTGTCATATTAAACTATGAAGAAAATTTTTGATGAAAAGAAAATATTTCAAAGATTTGTGTTTTTTTTTTGAACAATAGCAATAGAAAAATGATTAAATATTGTCTTCTAATAGAATAAATTGGATATGACATAATATTGATTATCTACTGTTTTTTATTCGACAACGACAATTAGATAGTTCATTGTTGCAGAAAATTCAGTAATATAAACAGTGATAGTAGGGTGGAGGTGTGGGGATGTGGATATGGATTTGGGTTTGCATATAGAAGTTATATCTCACATCTACACCGGCATTCACACTCACACTCACACCGTAATGCGCTCAAGGGAAAAAGCGCATATCTTCAAGAAATTTGTTTTTTTATCTGTTTTTGTCGCATAATACAATATGTTTCAAATTCAACCTTTGCATTTGTGCTTCTTCTTATCGTCAAATATTGACATTGCCTTGACTCTGATATGGGATCAAACAACCAAATAGAATGCGAGAAAGATGATGGTAAAGAAATGACTTTATTCTTTGTTTTTCTATCTGTGCATCGTAAGCCACGCGATTTCACTCTAATAATACACGTTGCAGTTCATATCTATCACAAACAGAGTTCTTTTTGGGTGTGGGTGTGGGTGCAAATCAATGGAAAACAGATCGACCTATATCTCTCAGATACAAATCATTCTACTAGTCTCAACTCTTGCTTTAAGCAATCGATTAAAGTCGAAAATACAATAAGATATAATATACTAATGTGCTAGAATTAAATTTATTAAACGAAATGTAAAGATTTATTTCGCCGACGCGTTTCGTGTATTTATTTAATAATAATGAAACACTCATCAGGACTCTACATTAAAATACAAGCACAATGGGGAAAAAAGGGAAAATAAAACACTACAGATACATAAAAACTGAGTATAAATGTATACGACAAGTAAATATAAATTAAAATTAGTTGAAAACTACACTCATCTGTAGAAAAATGTTTAGTTATGTATCAATATTGATTGATCTTGTATGCATTAAACGTCTTTGTAAATTGTTAACATTACGTGTGCCAAGAACAGGTATAACTTCGTTGATTGGTGATTCGCCAAAAGTATTTGTTCCATAAAGCATGGAATTTACTAGGAAATGTTTTCATACTTGAACAGTAAGTAAAATGAACAAACATTGTTTTACTATAGTCTATTGGTATTTTTTCTTTTACAGGAGAATCTATGATTCTTTGACGATAATTACTGTAGTTACTACATGTCAATGGTTGATTGATGTTCAATTTTAATAAGACATGATTAAACTGTTCCTGAATGAATTCATTTGGGTATTTCTTTACCATCAGTGCCATTCGTAATTTTTCACGTTCATCAAGATAGGCTTGAAATGTTGAACAATATCTAATCACACGAAGTAACATCGTAAATACGATATTTTTCTTCATATGTAACGGATGAATACTATTGAACGGTAAATAATATGGTTCATAAGATGGTTTGTGATAGATCGTAGTAAATAAGTGTCCATCTTGATTTTCCATATGTAAATCTAGAAAATCAGCCATTGAACCAATATTTTTCTATAAATTAATGTTTTCATCGAAATGATTCCAGCTTTCAACTTGTTTCAGTAAATGTCAAGCTGGCCAATTAATTGTAATAAATATATCATCAATATATCGGAGGTAAAGTCCACCACTATCTTCAATTTGTTTAACAATATCTCGTTCATAAAAGAACATATAACAATTAGCTATGGTTAAAGTAAGTGGAGAACCCATTGCTCCACCACGAATTTGATGATAATATTGACCATCATATGAGAAATAATTATTTTGCATAACAAATTGGCTTAATCGAATAATTGTTTCAGTTTTAAGACCACCAATTTGTTTCAATTTAAGATGATCTAACATTTTCTTCAGTGACAATACTCCTTCAATTTGTGGTACCATCGTGTAAAGGTCAATAACATCAATAGTACAAAATAATGTTTCTTGACGTTAGGAAATCCATATTACTAGCAAAATCGATTTTCTACTCTAACAGGTATCCGACAATACCATTTCGATTTCTGATGAAACACTTCGGAAACCAAAAGGATTGTCGAGGCTTTTAAATCTCAAAAAAGTATAATGGGAAACTTAAATTGGTTTCCGAAGTATTTCATCGAAAACCGAAAGTGTTTTCGAAGCTTCTAAATCTCAAAATAGTATAATGAAAAACTGAAATAGATTTTCAAATTTTTTTGAGACCTTGCAGGATTTCCGAAGTTTCGAAAGCCCTCGAAAGCCGTTTTCCTTAAGTAATGTTAGAGTCAAAAAACTATTTGAAAAAAGTATGATTTATATCCGAATTTCGATCTTCGTGATTTTTTTTCATTTCAACGGTTTTTAGAGAACTTGAAGTGACTATGTGTTTGTCACAAGGTATTTGCTTATTGATGATTCCTTTTTGGCATGAATATATTTTTAAACATATTCATTTAATTCTCTCAAAATAATCAAACATCATTTTTACATTGTTAATTCAACTGAAGTTACCAATATAGGGCGAAAAATATAGCCTGGACAAAACTCAAACCATTGAATAACAACATTAGCTCCAGAATTTATCTTTTCTCTTCGCTGTTTTAATAAAATGAGAACGATAACATTTCGATGAAGATAAAGTAACTGAAATGAGGCTACGATACTCAAGTGAAATACAATATGGTACTTCGTACAATCTCGCAAGACTTTTATTCAACTAATTGAAACCAATCTCTATTTGAATTTTCAGACTAATTCATCGAGTTCTTTAATGAAAAAGTTCTGCAATATGAACTCAGAGTTATTATAAACGGTAAGAAATAAGAATCTTGACTTCCAAATCAACGAAAATCGAAATCCGCTGAGCAGTCCTATATACCAGAAGATAGAGTGAGCGACGCTCTACAAAACCTAATATACCACAATTCAGCCAAATTCGGATGAGGTTTTTTATTCGAAGACAAAGTTTGTGTAGCAATGAAATTATTCTACTCCCATTAAAACTTTTACTTTGGGAATCTGAACAATTTGATTCATATATGGTTCGATAGAGCTGAACGCGAGCTATCAGAATATAAATAGAATGTTCTCTTTTGGTCGTAAAATGAAAAAGAAAACGTTCTCACAAAATCCAAAACTTTTCAGTTCGACTATGGTTTTTTCTAAATTTCAAATATCGAATTTCGCTCATTTCAACCTGATTTTATATTGAAACCTTTGATAATTTATTACTAAAATGATCAGCTCATTGAGCTCTACAAACGCTGAAAAGTTGAGGCGATTCTGAGAAAGTCGATGTAAAGGTGGTACGTTTCTCATG